AGAGCGCCACCTAGTGGCGAAAGGAAAAGTAATTTTTTATACTTCCATGTTCTACTCCTAAGCAGGATGATCAGATGTAGCTAGATTTAGTCAGGAAATGTAAAACATGTTGTTGTGATGGGGTTAGGGTTAGGGTTAGGGTTATTATGATTGTGGTGTTTGTCAAAGGGCGTGTCCGTGGCGTGAAATTTTGATGTACCGCCAGAACACACAAATTTGCTATCCAATCGGCTCCAAACTTCACTTGTCTGATAAGAGTCCCGCCCTGAACACATCAACTCTCAGCGAGTTTTGACTCGTTCGTAGCCAAGTCAATGGCGGCTCGCCTGGTCACATGATTTCGTATTACAGCTTAACAGTACACTAAAATATGTTTCTGAAAAGATTTTAAGTGAGGAAAAGGCAGCAACAGAATCTTCAAAAGGTAGCCCCGCCCAAAAGCATACACAGCTTAATTGTCTATTTTACTCTAAATTGGACCGTAATTTACTAAATGAACATCATAATGTATTGAAGAAAATGTCAAACTAGCGACTAAGGCCATAAACTCATTAGAAAACTGTTTACTGAGCTCATAAATAAAGTGAGAAGTCGGCTCATTCTCCATTAGAGTGAATGATATCGGTGTGTTATTGCAGCCAATGGAGCCCCCCCTGCTGGCCTTTACATAGAATGCAGATTTTCAGTGCAGTCAGATTGTATTTTGTGCAAAAAAGGTATATGTGTGAGAGTTGGAGAATGGAGACACAGGTGGCATGTAAGAAATTCTAAACTATGATTCATAATGAAGAAGGTCCCTTATAATCTGGTGCCAGAACTCAGGATGGTACCAAACAACTGTACTGTACAGTACGTCACTGATAAATCATAAAGATAATGACTCACTTTCTATTAAAGCCCCTATGTGTAGTATGTGCAGAGCATTAAACTAGTGTTTGGTGGGAGTACCAGCATGCACTGCTGTCTACTAGTGTCTTTTTTGACACTGCCAAATGTCACAATCTGCACATAGTGACTTTAACTCCACATGAAACATTTATTAAGTAATTTGACTGAATAAATAATGATGATTTTAAAGTGTTTACCAAACCAATTCTTATCTTATAGGAGACACTCCCACCCACCTCCCTGCCCCTTGTTCTTATCTTTGCCACCAATGTCATTGTTGGGGTCCAAGGCATCAGCCAGGTCAAAGTCATCAGCAGCTGTGGAGGTCAAAAGGTCAGGGATCAATATAATTGTGAAATAAAAGCAAATAGGAGTTTAAAAAAGCATTACTGCTGGGAGGGTAATGAAAAAAACTCAATCAAACACAAAAAAGTGTTTTCTAAAAGCAACGTGAATGTGAGTATACTGTGAAATTATTGCTTCCTCAAAATTGATCTGGCACAGCCGAGAAATATAATTAATTCCCCAATCTCATTCCCAGGCTGTCAAATACTGATGCCAACAACAATCGACTATGTTCAAGCCACCAACCCAAGAAGTGGCTTTGTTAATTGGAACTGACATCTGGAACCAGTGCTGAAACTTGTCTAGTCCAACATGGGCCAGCTATGGTCATACAGTTGGCTATGTCATGGGCCATATGTGGCTACATGCCACATATGGACCATAAATCTGGGCCAAGTGTACAATAAGTGGGCTGTGTGGGCTGTCACTGGGTTGGACCAGTATGTCTATGTGGGCTATGTAGATTTTTTACTGAACTGGACTTTGCCCACATATACTGTATATTCTATAGACCATTATGTAGGTAAAGAGTTGCTGCCTATTGCAGCAGCTGAGCATATGTATTATTATAAGGTTTGAGTGTAGTGAGAGTCACTAACTCTCTCTAACTCTCTAAGTTGCAAAATTCTTTATTAATACTACAACTTAACTAAATTGACCGTTACCGAACATTGACTCAGAGAAAGATGTTTCACCTAGTGCAGCATTTAGGTGACATGGGAGAAAAGCTGCTACAACTAGGGACAAACGTTATTTCACTGACATTGACACTGACATCCATGACAGAACTTGTACATGTTGTACTGGTGGAATTGCTGTGGAAATGTACATTATACTAACTGACTGAATTTGGATTTGCTAATTAAAACAGAAGAGTATCTGAAAACTTTTTTTAAAAATATAAAGCAGGACAAAAAAGAAATAAAGGTGAGTTGGTGGTATGATCTGATGTTCTCTGCAGTAGAGGCACACGCCTCAGAAGGAGAGCAGGCTACAAACACAGAGAAAAGTGATTCTCTCACCTGGCTTGGGATTGGGCTTGAAGGGGCTCTTGGTGCCTACGGGGACTTTAGGCACGACCTTGGTTGGGGCTTTGGTGGTGGTGGTGGTAGGGCTATCAAAGAAATCCGCCAGATCGAGCTCTGCAGAGAACATTGACAACATAGTAGTCTGTAGAGTAGCTAAACTAATTGAAAAAAACGAAATTAATGATTTGATTTAAAAAATAAATCTACATATTAAGTCAACAATAAAACTAATTTAGATGCTATTGCAATTGAGAGTGCATGACAACTTGTTAGCAAGTGAGCAAAGGAGATTAGTTAAAAAGATCCATATGGTAGTAGTAGGAATGCTAATTTGAGAACAAAGTTAAATTGTTGGAAAATACTGACAATAAATA